ATTGACGAATCAGCAGATATAACAAAAAGCGAGAAATTTTCGGGAGTTCACGACATCTAAATGCCGCTATAAAACTTCCCCTCAGTCGATGTCTTCCTATGAGAAATAAGTAAGTCTAACAGAGCAGAACTTCAACTCGTTCGGCACTGAACCGTTGCGACCGAATCGCTCAGCTGAATGAATGGACAGACGGCCATAACAGCGAAATATTTTACAGACTGGTGCGTAAGCAGGCTAAGAAAAAAAGTCACTGAACTTCACGTCTAAGTATTATATGCTCACTGCTAACCATTGACTTTTGATGAATACGAGGGATCTAAGTATATCTACTAAAACATTCACTGTAGATTCACGGCTTTATACCTTGCTTCCAGCGAACTGTGATCAAACCAGGGGTGCGATCTAGATATAATGCACCGTAATTTGTGTATGGCGACCTGGTGTGGCAAAGCTGATGAGATTAGCTTGCCGTGGCAAGTACACGGAGGTTGCTTTAAAAAAATGGAAAACAAACTGTTGGGTGTTTAACCTGAGAACTGCAGAAATTTGTTAACTTTAGCCAACAGCTCCGTAAATGGGTTGAACGATCATCATCATCATTGGCAACTGTAATAACCGCGTACTCGTCGTACGTGGTTGTAGGCTGCCGCAGTTTCGTTCACCGATGGTTTGGGGGGAGGGGTAGGTAGCTGCACGTTGCAGACGGGAGCTGATAAATTGGTGCATAAATCCAGCACTGTCAGTGGACTGTCAAGTGGTGAAAGGGTTGGAAAAGGAGCTATGCATTGAAGGCAATAGCTTGGATGCACGAGCGCCATTGAGGGCGCGACTGGGCCATATCTGACAATGTCTCTAGCCATTGATGTGGCCCGTCTCGGGGAACATAACTGGACTAACCAGTTAACTTGGAGGTGACCTGATGAATTTGACTGTAACTTCTGAAACTCCTGGTATGTTAACCAGCATCTAATAAAGCTGACTGTGTAATCAACCCATATAAACGGTAAAGCCAATCTGTTGCTACGTGGTGGAATTCATGCTGGGTTACTAAAACCGATCTGCAACATGGCTACATTGAACTTACCAATAAATTTTACGCGTTGATACGCACTGTCCTTGAATTCCTTTGATCGGCCCTGTACGGCTGCAGGATATGTGCGTCAGTGAGATCAAGAAGCTTACTTGCATCCTTGGAAGAACACACAACTTTATCGAACAAAACGATTGCATCCAAATAGAGTTTGCGTGCCTCGGCGTAGTTCTCTACGGTTATGTGGATATACAAAACGCACGATACTCACGCCTGTCTTCGGCTGATATCGCTGAGGAAAGCAGGTGCTTCGCCGTAGAATAACTGTCTTTTGGCATCCTCAATTCAACAACAAAAAATGCCAGTCTACGGTACCCATCCTGGACGAGCGCGAACTGAACAGTGCTGAAAATTGGTTTGAAATCAATACACTAAGCTTCACCTATCGATTCAAAAGGTTGCTTCCGCCAGCAAGCGCACTGATAAGAAAAGAGATTCAGTACAAGAGATGAATGATTGCGAAAATACAAGAGATGGAGGGATTGAAGGAAGGTGAAACACGTCCTTTTTGTTGCTGAATATTTCTAAACGAACGCTCGCTTAACTCATGCAAACGAACTATGTATCGCATACCAATGGCTCTTTTCCTCAGGTCTTTTTCGAGCCATTTCACATAGGTGAACAGGTGTGGAGTATACAAAAATGCAAACAGAACAGTGTTATATGTGATTCAGAACGGCAATCGATATCAACTGTCTCCGGAGTACACCGTTTGTGGAAATCTGGTCGTTTGAATATTTCCTAAAGCTTCTGAAAATACGACGTAAAACTTTCTCAGGTGTGTGGGCACCATGTATATGTATGACTGTCGCATCGCACTTCACTGGGTTCATCTGTCTAATTATCTTCAGCGATAGCAACAAAGCAGTACTGAATTTTGATGAAAATTCTGGAAATGAGTTTCACAGTAAAGAGTGGGGAGGAAGGGGAAAGACCTCGTCCAAACGACCTTATGCCTATCCCTTGGAACAAGACCGAAAGGAACGCATCTGAACATAGCACGTGGAAGCCATCAATGAGACCGGCCCAAAGTCTTCTGCGAATTCAACCCAACTCCAGCCCAACACTCACTGCAGACAAACTTCACACAGGTATTATGGTTAGGAAGCGACAGCATGACGGCCAACGGGGCCAGCTACGTGCCGTATATTGTAACGTCTCTAGCAAGCAGAAGGACGTGAACCCCAAAAGAAAATAGCCCAGGAAGCTGCAGCAATCACCTTGAGAGCAGCCGTTTTCCTTTTAACCGTCACGAAGAGACTGGACCTTACCGTGGTGTGACGGTTTGCGCACCTCAGCGATCCATTGAGCTATACTGGAGAGTGTCCCGCAACACTCACAGAGTCTCTCATACCAGGTTGGCCAATGGTTAGAGGTCTGACGAACACAGTCTCCTGGCCCTCCAGGTTGGGGGTTGGAACATGTGGCGACTTGTTCCGTAGAAATGGTAATGCATTTGCATTTCCCGCCAAACACCGCTGCCTTGCGGTTAGGCTTTTGAGCCAAAGGCTTTGGTTGAGGACCCTAATCGTCCTCCTCCTCCTGTCTAGGTGTGGGCGCCCTGGCAGTATCCCAGCCCACGTACAACCATGAATTGCTACGGCAGTGAAGCATTGGTGTTGAACACTGATGTCATGCTGTCGATGATGATGATGATGACTTCCACGAGTACATCAGAGAAGGTTTCAGCGTGGATACTGGGTGGATCAGGGTAAGAGCTCACTCCGGTGGTGACTGATGGATGAAGGTAGAAGAGATTGAGCTCAGGGGTCACGTGGACACTGACAAATCAGAACACCACATGACGGACCCACCAGTAGAACCGCCCTGTTGGTCGGTGTCGCTGCCAGCAAGCATATGACCACACGCACATCACCACTCTGCGCACAACTACTAACGGACTTATACGCCTCGCTCCGTTTTCCAAAGACGTGCTGTTGATGTCACCTCGATTGGCAATGAGACGTTTGCAACCAAGTTGAATAGCCCAGCGAACGAAGCAACGACCAAAGTAGACTAGTACCAAATGACCTGAAGTTAACCACTTGGAGATTCCGTAAAAATTCCCTTTAGGATAGCTTACTTGCATGGACAGACAGAAGGAGGATTTTCACAAGACGGACGACATAATGTGCGATCCAGTGAATAATGACAACAAACACACATTGATACTTAGGTTAAGTAAGTCAAGAAGAATTTCGTGACCTCTGTTGAACTCCATTTGACTCTATTCACCTCGTTTTTCGGTGGTCCAGATTAGTGTAAGCAGACCTGAACTGTACACAGTACATGTCCTGAACAAACTTGCTAGTTTGCTTCTGCGACAGAACCCTTTGTGAATCGAACCATCAGATTTCTACAGAGTTCACACTAATTCAAATTTCTGAAATATATTGTGAAATGCCAAAGTCCTTCAAATAGCAGCTGCGTCGGGAGAGTGCACTCGGCGGGCTAACTTTACGCGGCACTCACTAGTTCATTTGCCCCCATAAAATCAACAGATAGGGTCAAAATGGAATTGTGTGAAAACTTCGCTATGACGTCATTTTTCGAAGAAAGGGAGGGTGAAGATACAAGAGAGAAATGTGTTCGTTCCATTGGCCTATTTTCGGAGATCTGATCTAATAAAGAAAACAAGTAGTCTGAAGGATCTGGTATTTATCTGACGGCCCATAAAACGAGTGTGTTATTCTTCCATAAGTGCAAAAGACCAAGAAAGTGTTTCTGTCTGGGTCACTCTTTGTAGATACGATTCTCACTGTATAAACATCTAATAAAACCAAAACGGCTTCATTTTAGGAGGTAATTTCTGCTTGAAAATTTCTTCTAAGGGGAGCGTCGGGGGATGGTGGTGAATGATACATTGGCAACAGCTTTTAGTGGGAAAATCCCACGACGAAGATTATCATCTGCGTGTTATTCCACTGAGGAAACAAACAACTTACCGAGCGATCATTACGCCCGAAACTCCGGAGCATTCCTTGTGGGTCATATAGTCTTCCAATGAAAGAATATCACCGTTTCCTGGAAGGACGAAACGGACAAGCGAATGGTGAAAGCAAAAACGA